GAAACTACGAATCTCCTTGACATTCCTTGGTCTCTCCCATTCGGTAATGGCCTCTATCTTCTTATTATCAACAGCAATTCCCGATCCCGAAACCACATGCCCGAGAAAGCCAATTTCCTTTAGCCAAAATTCACATTTAGAAAATTTGGCATAAAGTTGCTTCTCCCGTAGTGTCTCAAGAACGAGTATCAAGTGCTCTTCATGCTCTTCCTCACTCTTTGAGTAAATCAAAATGTCGTCTATGAACACAATCACGAATCGATCCAAGTATTTATGGAATACTCGGTTCATCAAGTCCATGAATGCCGCTGGGGCGTTTGTTAACCCAAACGACATAACAAGGAACTCAAAATGTCCATACCTTGTGCGGAAAGCACTCTTTGGTATGTCGTCTTCCTTAATCTTCAATTGATGGTAACCCGACCTCAAATCGATCTTTGAAAACACGGTTGCCCCTCGTAGTTGGTCAAACAAGTCATCAATTCTAGGCAAAGGATACCTATTCTTGATTGTGACCTTGTTCAGTTGACGATAGTCAATACACATTCGAAGTGTCCCATCTTTCTTTTTCACAAAAAGAACTGGTGCTCCCCACGGGGAGTGGCTTGGTCTAATGAAACCATTATCCAAAAGCTCTTGCAATTGGGTTTTCAACTCGTTAAGTTCAGCGGGTGCCATACGGTATGGCGGTATGGAGATTGGTTTGGTGCCGGGCTCGACCTCGATCACGAACTCAATCTCCCTATCGGGTGGAAGTCCCGGTAAGTCTTTAGGAAAGACGTCCCGATACTTGCATACTACCCTAACATCATCAATGCTCGTATCTTCTTTGGTTTTGTCCACCACATACGCTAGATATGCGTGACACCCCTTCCTCATCATATTCTTAGCCCTCACGGCGGATATGATACAACTATTGGATTTTGCCCTATCCCCCTCGAAGCGTAAGGTTACCCCTTCATTGCCTTCGAGTTCAAGTACTTTCGTGTAACAATCGACCCTAGCATGATGCTTCTCAAGCCAATCCATCCCCAGGATTGCATCGAACTCAATCATACTCAGCGGCACGAAATCACACGACAAGTTTTGGCCCTCCACTTCCACCTCACACGATGGATAGTGGCTATCTCTCTCGATGTCTTCCCCTAGGGGTGTGGATACCAATAGGGCTTGAGCCATCGGTACCAGGGGTGCGTTGAATCCCCCGGCGAATGCCTCACTCACAAATGATCGTTGCGCCCCGGTATCGATGAGGATTCTCGCACATCTCCCATTAATCTTTAGTGTTCCTACATTTATAAACCATGTAAGATACCTCTCTAACATACCGACCAATCCTACGAAGAACATAATGCGAAATCATGTCCTTAAAGTGGGCAAAATCCCCCAATTATGGTTGACGTTCGCAGTTGAGATATAGATTGACACTGTCTCACCGTTTTGATCATAACTCTTCACATACTTAACCAAATTGTTCGATTCAAATTCCATCATTTAGACAATGAAAATATCTACAACTTTCATGAAGACAACTTTTTCATTTGACGAACACTTCGAGGTGTACCCGGTCGGGTAACATACTATACCCGATCGGGTATAAGTTCCAGTGGGTTCGGGCAGAATTTTTTGACAAACCCGGTCGGGTTTACCACCATACCCGGTCGGGTATGTGTTCCAGAAAGTGTCTGGAAGATATTTTTGACAAACCCGGTCGGGTATACCACCATACCCGGTCGGGTATGTGTTCCAGAAGGTGTCGGGCAGAAATTTTTGACAAACCCGGTCGGGTATACCACCATACCCGGTCGGGTATGTGTTCCAGTGGACTTATGAGTGCAAAAACTTGTCCTACCCGGTCGGGTTCATTACCAAACCCGATCGGGTATGCGATCCAGAAGGTTTACGAGGGCAAAAACTCGTCCCACCCGGTAGGGTTTATTGCCCTACCCGATCGGGTAGTAGCATGGTTTTGCTCTCCTTTCCCATTTCAATCTTACGTCTGCTCCCACCTGGATTCTAGGATTTATAACTTCAATTTATGGACTAATTAAGGATAAAACACTAGTATACGAGAGGCAATACCTGCAACGGAATCCGGGTTAGCTTGAGCATCCGCCTCCGTCATCGCGTAGACCCTAGCTTGAGTCCTTCCTTGATTCACGGACGGCGCGTTGCTTGCGCTTGCTCCCCCTTGCCCCCTGGACGCTTGTGAAGTCCCGGCTTGATTCCGTGTCCCGGTATTACCACTACTTGGCCCTGATGCCCTCGTCCCGCCCAGTTGTGGGCAGCTCATCTTCATGTGACCGGTGCTCCCGCATTGGTAGCATCTAGGAGGGTCACGACATTTCCCCGGGTGGTTCCTCTTGCAATTCTTACAACGAGTCACCCCCGAGGCTTGTGATTGCCCGCCCGGGCCATGACTTCCCCTAGGTGGCAGTGGGGGTGTCCGAAAAGATCCCCCTCCCCCATGGTTCCCCTTTTTGCTAGGACCTTGATGCCCATGGTTCTCCCACTTCCTCTTCTTTGCCTCTTCGGCGTTCTTCAACTTTCTTTCCTCCCATTCTTTCTCTCCTTTTAACCCTTGCTCGACCACTTGGCTAAAAGTCATGTTAGGCAACTGTGTTGCCCTCTCACGCACCTCCAGGTCTAAGGCATCCCAGAAGTGATTTACCATCCGGTTCTCGTCACACACATACTCCGGTATGAACTCCGCGAGCTCCCTGAATTTGTGTTCAAGTTGCCTCACCGTCATTTTGCCCCCTTGGGTCAGGAGGGTATACTCTCTCCTCTTGGCGTTCACCTCAAAATCAGAATAATATTGGGCAAAGAACTCCTGTCGGAAATTCTCCCAAGTCACCGTGTTGCCATACTTTCCCTTGGCTCCGTCCCACCATGTGGATGCCATCCCTTCAAGCAACCTCACCGCCACCCTTAGCTTAAACTCGGGGGTGAGTTGCATATCAAGGGCTGCTTCGTTCAGCCTCTTGATCCATTCCGCGGCAACCGAGATGTCACCTGCTCCGTTGAAGGGTTTGCACCCCAAGTCTCTCGCCTCTTTGAGAAATTTTGAGATCCTTATGATCGGACCTCCATCACCCCGGCCCCCATGTGGTTCAATGTGGGCCCTAGAGTCGCCTTGGCTTCTTCCTCTTGAAGCCCCACCCAAAGTTCGCCCTCCCCGGCGCCTTCGGCGTTCCCTCCTTTCTTCGCGCTCCCGCTGATATTGTTGGAGCAGCGCCTCGATTCTGGCTAGGGAGTCATTCTCCCCTTCTTCATCACTTATATCATCGTCATCCCCTTCGTAAGGGGTCTCAACCGGCTCGGTCTCCGGTTGGTAAGTTGAGTCCTCATAGGACCAGTAGGTTTCACTTTCTGTGTCAACATGACCGTCACTCACGGTCTGTGATCGGCCTCCACGGCCAGCTCCCCTAGACGCCCTAGAGGTCCTTCGACTGCCCTGTCCAGTCTCCACTGGTACACGGCCCGTCGGGTTTCTCCTAGTAATCCTGCCACCACCGTCCATTTCTGAAAGAAATTTGGAAAGAGTCATTAGACTCGTATCAAATGTCAATTGACGGATAGGTACTTAAGACACATTTTGGCTCGAGTCACCGCCATACCAATTGCTAAGGGTACCATCTTAACAATTAGAGACCTTGCAACCCAAGTACCAAAAGCTCTCCAAGTACAAAACTCCTATGCTCATGGTTTTCAAAATCTTTTTCAAAAAGAGAATTTTGAGACTTCATTATGAAGTTTATGGACTAAGGCTCTGATACCAACTTAATTGTCACGCCCCGGACCTATCCGGGCACGTCAACAACCCGCCGTACAATACGAATAGTCAACCGCAGTCCAACACATTCATATTATACAAGGCGTCTTGAATATCATTCACACATATACATCCATAAACAAACATAATAAGTAATTCATAACGCAGCGGAAAACATTGTTTAAAACACAAGGGCCACACATGGCTATTCATGAGCACGCAGGCTCTATAGTAAAATATCCATGAGCATGTTTATTAATGTTTAAAAACAGAATGGAGGAAGCACGAACCAAGTCTTCCCTCCTAGATGAATCTCTCGAGCAACGAGCACAGGAAGCAAGCTCTAGCCTCAACCTGAAAAATGGTGGTGGGACGCCCCCGAAGGGGTCAGCACTCTATAGGGCTATAAAGTGCTGGTGTGGATGGCATCTAATAGATATACAACAAGTATTTCAAACACAAGACCCTCAAATAGGGTGATAATATAATCTAGGCCGTAACCCCAAGTTACCCCGTTTTAAAATATACTTACTTTATATATAAAGTCAAGTAGTCGGCCCGTAGGCCCAAGGTTTGTTTATCAAACATACCCCAAAATCCCGTGACCCCTAGTCACAACAATACATAGGGTCCAACCCTAACACATATGTTTGCATTCTCGAGTCCAACTCGACTACATCACCATGCACCTTTATTAACATAAGCTAACTACTCCACCGTGCATTCTCGAGTCCAACTCGACTACATCCCCATGCACACAATCACCTCATCATGTCTACCCAATGCAATTCTATGAGCACGGGCTCAAGTACATCTCCTTACATTGGCATAGACCCCAATTCCTAAGCACTCACTAGGCCTAGAATTGTAATATCAATAATCTATCTTGGGACATCCCTACGGACTGCCCAACCATGGTCTTAGCATCACATTACATCAATTTAGTCACTTGCATCACAATCAAGTTCATCAATTACAATCAAATCCTTAGATTCAATTCTTCAACAATTTCAACAATCATTAACTAGTATTTCAATACTATTAAGATTATTCTTATCAATCATATATTCCATTTGTAAAACCCTACATATTTAGAGATATGTAGCAGCAACTTAATCATTCAATGTAATACATAAATAATCATTTATGTATCTACACAATTCACACATGAGTAAAATGCCTATTTCACACAATAGTTCATTTAACTCCATTTTCATCAATACTTTACCAAATCATTTCTTATTTCATTCTTTGGAAAATAGATCAATATTCCATCAATAGGTTATCATCATAATCCATGGAAAACATTATTTAAGCATTTAGGTAATCTCATGCTTAACCTACAAGTTGTAAGCAACTAGATGTCGATCCTCACCTCAAATGAGCTTTAAAACCTTCCTTCTCGATCCAATGGCTAAAGCCTCGGCCAAGGAAGATTGGGAACTAGTTCCTTGCTTGAAAATGGGTTCTAAACAGCCTCCTCAAGTTGCTATTTCAACCCCGAGTCGTTGATACTAAAACAGCCCCTAGAACGGGTGTTTTCCGGCTAACTCGATTCCTAGTTTTCCAATGTTTGCACCTAGGTTAGTATCTAACCTTTACATCAATAAAATAACTTAATAGGGATGTTTTATACACTTGGAGTAGTGTATAATAGTCCCACCAATCGTTCATATCATTTGGAAAATGAATGGAAAGGTTTTGGGATTAACAACTCACTTAGAAGAGTAAATCCGTCCCTGCGAGGTCTCGTTCTGCTCGGACGATTTGGAAGCCTTCCTCTACTCCGATTGATGCAAACCAGACCTTCACGGATTCCTCGTCTTGAGAGCTTTCTTTTGGTATCTCACACGCCTTAATTGGATTGGTAAAACTCGAGATATCGGCCAAACAGTCTCAGCACTCTCACAGCTCGAGTTCACAGACCTCTTCTCGTTCCAGATCGATTTTTGGATGATTGACTTCTCCTCTCGAACTGTGGCCACTCAAATATGAAAATAGACTTCAAAAGCTATCCAAAGACACCTTATACACGTTGTTTGGTCGAGTATAACTCCCATAATGAGTGGAGACAAACAGCACACCATTTTGTGCGGAAATTGACAAGGTGGGTCTCAAGGTTGATTCCAATCAAGTCTTGTGCAGCCCTCCTCCAGCTGGTGCGGCCAAGGTAAGTCTCCTCACTTAATTTTCTTGTTTTGTAGGTACTCTAATCATGTGGAGTGGTTCCCAATTGATCCCAATTAATTTGGGATCCAAATTATCTACCAATACTTCCAAAAATGGGGAAAATGGGTCCTATTGTTTTATCTTTGTCAAAAGATGTCTTTTTGTACTCCTCCTAATTTATTTAGAACAAGTCAACTTCCTAAATCACATTATTGATCTCCAATATGTGTAGGCTCATCCCAATAATTTACATTATGAAAATTACAAACGAATGCGGGTTTGAACAATACAATATTCAATCATATACTTCGTAAAATATTAATCGTTTCTTCCATTGTTTTGAAATCGGAAATTCAATACATCACTTTGGAATTTTTAAATCGAATTTTCAAGGACGTTCGGGTGCGGTGTCACAATCTTTCTTTTTTTGTTTCCAGCCACCATATCGCCAAAAAAAAAACCGAAAAAGTGATACTAACAAATTCATTTTTAAAAATTAATCCAAATAGAGCCGACAAAAATTCAAAGAGAACGATAGTTTGTTGGTCTCCGTGACGAGACGCACCTCCCAGTATTTTTCTTTTAATGTATCGAAGACTTTTGGAAATCGGGGTTAAATTTTCTAACGGCGTTAGACGTCATGCCCCTGGTGTGATAACGGAATTGAAACACATGTCCCACTTTGTCAAAAAATGAAACATGTGCCCCTATCTGAAAACGGCTCAAACCACATATACCTTTTCTGTAGGAGAATTTGATAGAATTAGTTACTTATGGTGCTAGTGATGTAATGTACTTATGTGAACCTATTACGAAATAATAGATGTGATTAAATAGGTTTGATACGGATACAACTCACAGTACGCCGGCCATGCCCGAACAAGATTTGCGAAGATAAAAACGTGCTTGGAACGAACCTGTGGGCTAGATTAAACTATTTGTGTCTGGGCAGGCCCTGAGGCTCTTCATAATTAAAATAGGAATATTTGAGATGATTAGCTACCTAGTGTACTGTTTGCACATTGATAAAGACCGTGACCTAGCACGACTCTAGAGAGTGTGATTGGGTGGCACACACTCGTGCTGTGATCACACAAAGGGTGTATACCGAACCAGGGAAGCTTACGAGGCTCTGGAGGAGGTAGCACAGAGGTCCCCTAAATGGCCTTACCTTCAGAGGGGAATGTAGTATAGGCGCGTATAGGAGTGAGTGGTCTGAAAACACTTGTATAGGGTCAAGTGGCCTAATGGCTAAATTATCAAACACTTCTCGCAACCCGCTAACTTATTTTGGGCATTACCAAAATTAAGTTCCACTTTCAAACATTTCTTTATTTAATATGGCAAGTTATCTACATCAAAACAGTGCAGAACAGTGTCAAACAGTGCCAAACAGTGTCCAAACAGTGTCAAACAGTGCCAAACAGTGCATTCCACAGTAAAGTCAAGTTTATTTTCTTAATATGTGTGAAGTCAAAACCAGAACTTGTTTTAGAACCGGTGGGAGTATTGATTACAATCTATCTTATTGTTTACGATTGTCTATTTATCTAAATTACAAATGAAACATTCAAACGAGACATTGTCTAAACTCTAAAACGATCTACCATTTTCATTTTGCATTTAGTTGATTTTTGATCCCCTGACTCGTTTTTCTGGCTCCGCCACTGCACATAAGAGTATTCTATAGTAAACTCTAAAATATTACAAAGTAATAGTAGTTTTTAATTTAACAAGTTGTTTTACAGTCGATTATATTGTTAATACTTATTCTAACCTATTAATAGTATATGTTCAATAAACTTTTACATAAAAAAAATTTATTAATAATTAATAACAAGTTGTCACAAACTTATAAACTTGTAAACTATCAGTTAATACACAATTTAATATTTAATTTTATTCAATTGTTAAAAGTACAAATTTAAACGGTCTGATTGGACAAACAATCTTTTATCATTATTTTAAATTGTTAAATTTTCTGATTGTGATAAGGGTTTAGGCTGATGTTAATATGGTTATGTATTTAAATAATTTAAATTATTTTATAAATTTAAAAATTCAAGATACTACGTAAAAGAGAACAGAGAGTATAAGAGATCAAACAAAAAACATACCTGGACGGATAACAGGAGCGGAAGAAAAAGGGACTGAAGATGCCGGAAGCATATGGAGAAGAAGAAGGCAGAAGAGAGACTTAGAGTCTAATGGAGTGAGGGGAGTTTACCTTATCAATAAACAAGACCTACGACAATTGAGGACTAAAATCTGAATCGCCAAAAGATTGTGAACTCTGAATGCAGAAGGCTTTGAAGAGATATGTGCTGACACTTGGTCATCTACACATGCCAACAGAAGAAAAAGGATCTCAATCTATCATGTTTACACAAATTAGAACTTCTTACCTGATATAAAGAAAGTGCAAACGCCCTATATTGTTTAAAGAAAACTTCAACTCAATATATCAAATTAAACTAAATCTCCTATCATAAATTCCCAATGCCAAATGAACTCCAGTAACTACTTGTATAAAACACAAAATTAAGTGTAGATAAAGTCATTACAAATGAGATATTAACTAATTATGCTTAAAATGAACTTTTAACTTTATGTAAAACATTTTCCCAAAAAAACAACTTTATGTAAAACATACTTCTTCCCACCCACAATATAAGCTCGATACATTTATATATACATATCACGCGTGAAAAAGAATAAACTGATTATTTTATAATTTTGACATTCAAAAACTAATACTACTATGTATGAGTCTACAAACGTAAAAGGTGAAATGCTAGATAAAATGAAAAGTGAGAAATTAAAATAGAAGTGGAATTTAATTGAGGACAGCATTAATTTTTGGCAATAAAAAAAGCAAAATATATCTTACAAGATGTGATGAGAGGGAATGCTAGAATTCTGTTAAAGCTAATAAAACATACTCCGTATTTACATATTTATACGTAATCTATGATGTATAATAAAACATAATTACATATTTATAACTAAAATAAAGATTATTTACAAAAATATAATTAGTGACTAAAGTAGTAAGGAAATAATAATAATTTATGTTCAACTTTTAAACTTAAGTTACCATGACACCACATTATTGTAGCAACTATTAGTCATATTTGTGTAAATAAATTTTATTTTAATATTATTTTTGGAAAAAAACTACTTTTGAAAGTACTTCGGAAGATAAGACTCCAAATCTCACAAATATGAAAAGAAAAAAGGCTGAAATGTCACACACAATATTCTCATCTTAGCATTACTCATCAGCTAGGGGAACACCATAGCACCGTACCTGTTTAAGTGTTTAGTTTACACTAAATTTTTGTGATTATAGACAAAAAAATAGTGTAATGGCCCAGGCATGTCTCAGTAGTGTTGATTTTATATGGATTAAGATTAGAAATACGGAGTATTATTGATACATAATGTGAATTATTTATCGATACATATGTATTTAAATATGGGAAAAATAAGAAAATAGTACCCCAAACTTTGAATGTATGTGAAGTAAACACCCTAAACTTGCATATGTAATTTAAATACCCCAAAATTTATATAAAAAGTTATTTTTGCACCATCGTCATGTATTATTTCTTTCAAAATGTAAATTTATGGGGTTAATTGCATTATTTAAAATAGCAAATCAAAAGTGTTGCAACTATATAGATTGGGGGTAACATTATTTATTTTGCAATGGAAGTTTAGAATGTTGATTGTGTCTTTATGAATTCTAAAGTATTTTAAATTATGCAATTAACATCATAAATTTACACTTTTGAAAAAAATAATACTTGAATATGGTGTTAAAATAACTTTTTATACAAAGTTTGAGGTATTTAAATTATATATGCAAGTTTGGGGTGCACCTCTCACACCCCTTCAAAATTTGGGGTATTTTAATTATTTTTCTATTTAGATATTGATACATAATGTCGATTCGAAATATTGATACTTAATAATGATATTTCATCTAGATACCTTATGGTCTTCAAATCAATTTTTAAAATTACAAATGCAATATTGGTGTCATATGAATGCTTATAAAAAGATATGAATTTGGATACATTATTTATACATTATTTATACAAATTAGAGCAAAAATAAAAATGTTATAGCCGTTTAAATTAAAGACAATTTTTCAAATACGTAGGCCCCATCTTTGATTTGGCCGTTTGGTCGCTTTGCCTCTCTATGTTTCTCATATTCGCGTAAGTATGCAGTTGAAGTGATGGCTTTGTTTAATACAAAGATGAGGCCTACCTAATAGAAAAATCTTGGTAAAACTCCAAAAAGAGTAAGTTACTGTAAAGTAACATGTCAAGTATTTTTCATATAATATTTTATTTAGATGACAACTCTGGTGCCTTTCTAAAAATAGGAGTACCGTACTTATAATTCATTTGATTGGACCACATCACTTTATCAATTTTAATTTAGATTTAAATAATTCAACTGCTACCTTTTCATTGGTCCACGTGGACAAAGGCATGGTACCTTATGGGTACCACAGAAACTACCTTTTATTTATTGTATTTATAAAAATATACGGAGTATTTTACAAACACTTTTCCAAATATTAGCATATTCGGTCTATTCAACTGTTTCGGCTAAACTTTCACTAATTTACTCAATTTCAAAGTCATCGAACGAGCTTAAGGATCATTTATGTTTTTATTACGTTGCTATGCAAATAAAAATATGTGGGACCATGTTTATTCAGAAAAAAAGAGACATATTTTACTTTTGGAATAGGGGTGTTCTAATCTAGTAATCTACTTTCAGACGTATGACCAGTCAAATAAACAGAGCACTAATTGGATTTAGAAAAAAATCAGAGGGACTGACTCACAGATCTGAAGAAACAGATGTAAATTGAAAAGCATGATAAGGAAAAGCTTCACACTAAATAGAAAATGATGCTTTAGTAAATAAAATTGCAAAACGATTGTCGGACCAAGAATTTAAATCAATATTTAAGTAACAAATTTTAAAAACGGTTTGCAAGCGGTAATTAACATGAAATAAAATGTGCAGACTGACCAAAGAGCATAGAGCGGTTCAGTAGTTTCAGGCGCTTGAATGGGATAAAAGCGTGCTCGTCATGTCTTCGGAGTCCAGTACGAGAGAGACTTTGAAATATTCAGCGACAAATGGAAGAGAAGCCGCCAGAACTGAGAACAGAGAACGGGGGAGGGGATGAATGTTTTAAATTAGATGCCATCTTTAATTTAACAAAGGTTTGGGATTTTACTTTTAAAAGTTTAACAGTGCTAATAAATCAATAAATTGTGTTGGTAAGTACTAAGTAGTACTTCGTACTACGTAAGTTCAAAATGAATCTTTTTTATGTTTACAATGTTGGTTTACTGAACAGGGGATATAAAATTAGCAAAGTATATGAATAACATACTGAAGAAATAATATCAAACACATGGTGTGTTCACTCAAGATGGATTGAATTTGAACTGATAGTTTTGCAGGAAAATATGTATATATTACGGACTGATAATACATCAAATTTATAGATGAAATGGAAATAACTAACTGCTCCTATTAAGACTCCACGAAGCCTGCAAATACGGATGAAAACAAGCAAATAGCAGGTGAATATGTGTATGGCATAAACCACTCATACACGTATCTTTATTCTCCTAAAAAAATGGGTTGAACAAGTCCAAGCTTTCACTCACATTCCCCCCCGTAAGCTTGACTTTGTTCAAGATTCTTCACTCCAAGTAAGTCCCGCATTTCAGCAAACCTTATCCTTGCTAAGGCCTTTGTAAGAATGTCTGCACGCTGCTCTTTGGTCGAGATGAACTCCACAACCATTTGCCCCTTCTCAACACACTCTCTTATAAAGTGAAAGCGAGTGTCAATGTGCTTGCTGCGTTTGTGAAATACCGGGTTCTTTATCAATGCAATTGCAGATTTGTTATCAATGTAGAGAGTTACTGGTTTAGGCTTCCTCCCAGTTAGTTCACTCAATAAATTTCTTAGCCACAGAGCTTGGCACGATGCTAGAGTTGCTGCCATATACTCAGCCTCACAAGAAGATAGGGCCACAGTTTGTTGCTTCTGCGATTGCCAAGTGATCAGGTTTCCATTGAGATAAAATGCCATTCCTCCGGTGCTTTTCCTGTCGTCAACATCGCTGGCCAGATCACTGTCAGTGAAACCCACTAGTTCTTCAACGCCTTGCCCTCTCTCATATTGAATTCCATAGTTAATTGTCCCCTTCACGTAGCGAAGAATACGTTTAGCCGCCACCTGATGAACTGTGGTAGGCTTCTCCATGTACCTGCTTATGATTCCAACTGCATATGAAATATCTGGCCGAGTATGAGTTAAATACCTTAGGTTCCCGATGAGGCTTCTATACTCGGTAGGATCCACATGAACTCCCCCAACATCTATTCCAAGCTGCTGCCTTGCTTCCATGGGACATTTGCTTGAGTTGCAGTCTTCCATCCCGAATTGTTGTAAAACCCTTCTTGCATAGGCAGACTGTTTCAGGGTAATGCAGCCTTTCTTCTGGTCTACCTCAATGCCAAGATAATATGAAAGTAACCCAAGGTCACTCATTTCAAATTCTTTCATCATTTGCATTTTGAATCTCTCTATACAGTCCAGGCTTGTTCCGGTTATAATCAGGTCATCCACGTACACACCAACAACTAGAATTTCTTCCTCATAAATTTTTGTGTATACAGCTTGCTCCTGAGAACACTTCACGAACCCGAGACTCTTCATACTTCTGTCAAGGCGTGTATTCCATGCCCTTGGTGCTTGACGTAAACCGTAGAGGGCTTTGGACAACTTATATACCTTATGTTCCTCGTTTTTTACACAAAACCCTTCTGGTTGAGAAACATATACTTCTTCTTGAAGGTCACCATTAAGAAACGCTGACTTGACATCCAGATGGTGAATTTTCCACTCACGATGGGCTGCAAGAGCAATCAACATCCTTATAGTGTCAAGTCTTGCCACTGGTGCGAAAACTTCTTCAAAATCAATTCCCCGACGTTGCACATATCCCTTTGCTACAAGTCTGGCTTTATGCTTGATAACATTCCCTTCACTATCCTTTTTCAGTTTAAACACCCACTTCAATCCAATAGGTTTGTGTCCAGATGGTAAATCAGTCAGTGTCCAGGTCTTATTTTTTTCAATAGCCTCCATTTCTCTTTCCATAGCATCTTGCCACTCCTTTTCAGTTACTGCCTCTCGGTAACAAGTTGGCTCCTCAATGGCAACTAACATCAACTCATTAGCATCCATATCTGCTTCAGGTGCATCTGCGTATATCTCAGCAAGAGAACGGAACCTTCTGGGACCACCATCTTCTGATTCACTGCTTGAGCTCTCTTGTTCCTGAACTGTTGTGAAGTCTGTTGGTGGATAATCTGGCTCGACTATGCCTCCCTCGTGTGGAAGAATTGTGAATTCCATAGTTTTTTTATCATTCGTTTCACCATCACTATACCAGTCCCACTTTTTATCTTCTTCGAAAATAACATCCCTACTAATGTAAAGCTTACCATCATGAGGATTGAAAAGACGGTATGCTTTACAACCTTCCTCCACGCCAAGGTATACCACGATTTTACTACGATCATCTAGCTTTTTAATGTGCACACCAGATTGCTTCATGTGAGCGATGCAACCGAACACCCTTAGGTGTTCCAAATTTGGCTTCCTTCCAGTCCACATCTCATGGGGAGTAGTATCCGTGAGTGATTTAGTCGACACACGGTTCAAGATGTACACAGCATGCCTTACTGCCTCCCCCCATAATTCTCCAGGTAGCTGCATAGTTTTCAAAAGGCTCCTAGCCATTGCCACCACAGTACGATTCCTGCGTTCCACGACACCATTTTGTTGTGGTGTATATGGTGCCGTGAGATGTCTCTCGATTCCCTCCTTTTCACAGAATGATGTAAATTCCTTTGACTGGAATTCCCCTCCTCGGTCAGTCCTTAAAATCTTCATATTGTATCCAGTTTGGTTTTCAACCAAAGCCTTATACTTCCTAAAGGCAGAAAAGGCATCATTCTTTTGTTTGAGCATGTATACCCACATCATCCTACTGTAATCATCAACAAGAAGGAGAAAATACCTATTCCCAGCTTGTGTTTGTGGGGTTATCGGGCCACACAAATCTGCATGAATCAGCTGCAATGGTTGATCCGCCCGAAAGGTTGTTTGACCTGGAAAGGGTGCCCTTCCGTGCTTAGCAATCACACAGCCTTCACATAGTTGTGTAGGGTGTGTAATGTTAGGCAAACCTCGTACCATCCCCTTTTCATTCATTTCTTTCAGTGCTTGGAAGTTCACATGCCCCAGTCGTGTATGCCAGAGCCATGACAGATCATGGGTGCTTGCAGTTAGGCATACTGGTTGTGTTGTTTCAAGCAACACCTTATAGAGACGATTTTGTGTTCTTTTCACCTTCATAAGAAGCTTTCCGAACCTATCATGTATCCACAAGAATGTTCCGTGCAGCACAATCTTATTTCCATCCTCCGATAATTGGCCAAGACTAATAATATTACTACACAAGCTTGGTATGTAATATACATCAGTCAGTAATCGGTGCTCACCATTCTTGCATTTCAGTAGTATTGATCCTTTTCCCAAGATCTGCACAGTGGAACCATCGCCAAACTTCACGTGTCCTTGAACGCTCTCATCGAGATCTTTGAACTTTGATCGTTGACCCGTCATGTGATTACTGGCCCCATTGTCAAGGTACCATACATCAGATTCGCCGTGGCTGGTTGCACCATCTCGCAGCTTTGGTACAACCTTTCCTTCATTTAGTAAAACCATATCACTCGTCCTTTTTTCCTGTTCAGATAGCAACAAGGCTGGTTCCTCATCTTGGGTCTGTGTGAAATGGACCTCATCATCTCGACTTCGACGCGGTTTACGACACTCAGAGGCATAGTGTCCGTATATATCGCAATTAAAGCACTTAATCTTGCTTTTGTCGCGGCTGCTGCCACTATTACGACTCCGTTCTCCAGTGTAAGGTCGTCCACCTCTACCACGTCCCTGACCACGATTGTTATTGCTACTCTCACCATTTCTTTTCTCGTCGTCGTTGTTACTCCCCTTCTGTCGCATCATCCATTCTGAGTATGTGAGCAATAGATTTTCCTCATTCTTTTCGCTGCTGCCCCGGGTTCTCTCCTCATAAAGCTTCAGACGACCTGTCACCTCCTCCATAGTCATGGTCTTGAGATCTCCAAACTGTTCAATCGATGAAACAATCTGCAGAAATTGTGGCGGGACGGCCCGAAGAAATTTCTTAACAACAGATGTTTCCTCAATCGTGTCACCCAATGTCCGGATGCCGTTGACAATTTTTGTCAGTTTCATGGCAAAGTCATCCACCGACTCACCTTCTTTCATAGAGAGTGCCTCGAACTCACTCCTCAAGGTCTGCACTTTTGCTTCCTTGACTCGTTCGTCGCCAATATGCATTGTTTTCAGCGCCTCCCACGCTTCCTTAGCAGAGTCCTTGTCAGCCAACATGAGAAGAATGTCTTCAGGGATTGCTTGATAGATTAGAGCAAGAGCAGTCATGTTTTTTCGTTCATCGGTGGCTCTAGTTTCAATGACATCCCACACACCTTGAGCCTTCAAGTTTACCCGCATCTTCAAGGCCCATGCTGGATAATTGCTCCGTGTGAGCATCGGGTACTGGAGTGTCATTCCGTTCTTGTTCTGACCTGGTACAGACATTTCTCTCCTGTGGCTCTGATACCAAATGTTGGTTTACTGAACAGGGGATATAAAATTAGCAAAGTATATGAATAACATACTGAAGAAATAATATCAAACACATGGTGTGTTCACTCAAGATGGATTGAATTTGAACTGATAGTTTTGCAGGAAAATATGTATATATTACGGACTGATAATACATCAAATTTATAGATGAAATGGAAATAACTAACTGCTCCTATTAAGACTCCACGAAGCCTGCAAATACGGATGAAAACAAGCAAATAGCAGGTGAATATGTGTATGGCATAAACCACTCATACACGTATCTTTATTCTCCTAAAAAAATGGGTTGAACAAGTCCAAGCTTTCACTCACATACAAATGATGTATTCTGAAGTTAAAAATGTAGTGTGAGAACTAACTTTGAAGATTTTGCCACATTAATTAATCGATATACGTACTATCAGCAGTAGCAATGAAGAACTTAACTGTGGGAATACTGCAGGAGATGAAAAACATATTACTCAATGGGCTGCACGTGACAAGAAAGAAGAAATGATTCTCAAACTTGTCCCAAGAGTGCGGGAATTGCAGAATCAGCTTCAAGACTGGACGGAATGGGCCAATCAGAAGGTTATGCAAGCTGCTCGTCGACTGAGCAAAGACAAAGTTGAGCTTAAGACACTCAGGCAGGAGAAAGAGGAAGTTGAAAGGCTCAAAAAAGAAAAGAAAAAGGATCATGTCAAACATTCTACGTAGTATATCTTTTTTAGTTCTAAAACTTATTTCGAGACTATACATATAATGTAGAGTACTCCGTATTAAAGAGTAGGTATATATTTACCTGAAAGGCTGAAATTCATAAAAAAATTGAGATCACTATAAAGTGGCACTCCCTCCCTCCTAAATAGATTTGCAAAATCAATATCTTTTGCATAATTGGTTTTTTTCTCAAAATCAATTTTAAGATTTAAAATTTACCTATTCATAAGCTACATTAGAATCTGTACAAAATTACAAAATCCAAATTAAAATATACGGAGTAATTATAAATTGATATCCTAAATAAGTGAACAAAATTAACTTGATTGATCAAAAAATGTTGACTGTGCAAATCAATTTTAGACGGAGATAGTATAATATTTGATTTGATCTTGGATTACATTTCATTTCAACCGTTTTATAGTCATAATTTTAAATATTTTAAAATAAATCTAACGTTTTGGTAAAAGCATTAAAAGAAATTTTTAATTAAAAATAATTAAAATACCCCAACCTTTGAAGAAGTGTGAGATAAAAATAATTTTTATGTAATTTACGTACCCCCAAACTTTATATAAAAATTTATTTTAGCACCATGGTCTTATAGTATTTCTTTCCAAAATGTAAATTTATGGTGTTAATTGTATAATTTAGAATAGCAAATTAAAAATGATGCAAATATATAGAATGGGGATAGTATTATTTATTTTACAATGGAAGTTTAGAATGTTAATTGTATCTTCAAGAATGCTAAAATATTTTAAATTATAAAATTAGCACAAAAAATTAACAATTTTGAAAGAAATAATACATGACCATGGTGCTAAAATAACTTTCTATATAAAATTTGAGGGGTTTAAATTACATATGCAAGTTTGGGATGTTATCTCACACCAATTTAAAGTTTAGGGTATTTTAATTATTTTTCCTTAAAAGAAATACAATAAACCCACGTGTAAAAGTCAAAGAAAACTTTATACGTGAACATATTAAATGTACTAGTAAAAAAGAGTCTAGGAGTTGTGATAAAAGTGAAAGTGGAAAGTTGTTTAATTTGGCAGAAGTTCTTTGTAAGGAGGAGGAATATAATTATATACAAGATCGAGCACTCTCAATACTGTTTATGGTTCGGTCTCAATATTTTATAAGATCTCTAAACTAAACAGTGCAGGCTCAAGTAGCAAAAATGGTGTTATAATTGGAATAAAACAACCGGGACGTGAGCATACATGAAAAGAAACTTGTCCCGAATTGAAATCGCAAATAAATTACCTGTGATCCTATGAAGCTCCGGTGAAAATTAAAGCCTCTGGCAACCACTGGTAGGCGGCGGCGGCCGACCGGCGGGGATGCGCTTTGAGGCGGAGCTTACAAGTTCAGCGATCGTAGCTAGCTTTCCTCCACTCCACTAACAGCCTGCTGCATGCCAGCACTACTGCACTAGCCTATATAAGTGTATATATATGACGAGGCTGCCGCTTCGCCGGTATAAGTAGCGCAGTGATGTTTTCCGGTTCACCTAATTTTCTGGTCGAATCAGATTGTAATATAAGGATGGATGGCGCCCCTTACTCTATTTATTTACTCCCGTATATGTTTTGTTGAGATCAATTAAATTTTGAGGGTGGCAGTCTGGCAGATCTATTTATGTTGCATTTTCTTACCCCGTACTCTTTCAATATAATATTCCACAGCCACATGGCTCTATTGTGTTAGAAAAATGTTACAAGTACACGAATACTTACAAAACAACTATAAATTAAAAAGTGATGTGGCTATTCTAATTATTATGGTAAAGGTAATGTGTGTTAAATGAGGTAATTATGCAACATATCCCTTTTGTAAGATTTTTTTGTAGATTTTTTTTGTACCTCTAGCATAACTCATTGTCTTGATTACAACCCATACATTCCACATTATTGATTTATTGGCCAATTTGTATCTCCCTTTTAATATAACCGCCTTTTAGATGGTGCAATAGGTGTTTCATGTTTGACATCTGGACCAACTCTTGTTTTGGGACTCCAAAAATTTAGAATGTAATACTAATTATAGGTGGATTTTTCTAGATGTTATGCATTAATTATTCAAAAATTTCAAAAGATATACTAGTATAACTTTTAAATTCTTCAATTTGTGTGCATTAATTTGTATTTTACGTTATATATATAACATCATAAGTTTTGAACTGTCTATGAGCAGATACTATATAGATTAGAAAGAATTGTCCAAAAAAAAGTTTTGAATTGTCTAATATATTTGTATTTCACGTCAAATTTTGTTTTTATCATATTTTAGGGGTTCTCAATTTGTCCTTTGGAACGGGAGCCTCCAAATTCATTAGACGGTCCTGCCTTTTAGATGGTTTTGCTCTTTCATCGAACACAAGGAACATACTCCATATATAGATTGTTTGAGTCAAGGTCCAAATATATTTCTATTCTACTTTTACTTAGGATGTTTTTAGTTGGACTCAAATTTTCAAGTCAGATCTATTCTGATCTGGTATGATCTGTTTAAGTCTTGTTTGTTCTGGACTTCTGGTCGGTCTGGTAAATATCTGATCTAGGTGTATTTTATAACTAAGAAAGTTTAGTCAGGTCTGGTCTGTAATTAAGTCTGTTCTGATTTGATCTGTTTAAGTCTGGTCTAGTTTGAACTGGTTTGTCTGGTCTGGTTTCGGACTGAAAACAATCCAAATAAATTTACTCCTTATAAATCGTTTTTGACAAGTTAGAGGAAAACGAGTTCTGTAAATTAATTATACTTGTGAATGTATAATGACATTTGACAAATATACATATAAATATACATATAAATATAAGTATAAATATAAATATAAATATAAATATGAGTATTAATATGAATATATCAATTTAATAAATGTTAATATAATAGTATCCTCCGTTCTCTTTTAATCGCAACATTGGACTTTTTGCACTATTTATATATTCTACTTTGACTATATTTTATTCATTAATGTATTATAAATTAATTTTTAAAAAAATACTATTAAATTCTTCTTATTCTAAATTTTCAAAATATGATTTTTTTAAATTTTTAGTAATAAGAAATGAAAGATATTAATGGTCAAACTTGTGCGTTGGCAAACGTGAAATGTTGACTGTTACAATTAAAAGGGAACGGAGGAAGTACTACGTACTTAATATGAAAGTATATAGTGTTCATTACCCTTTAATTTTGCTCAAACGAGTTACGTAGTACGTAGTGAGTAGTAATTAGTATTATGCGACTGTATATTTAATTATTTTCTCGGCCTCTGGCCATGGCTTGTACTGTTGTACCTTCACATTCTTTTTCTAAATTCAAAAGTTTAGGGCTTGTTTATTAACGCATATATTTTCCACTTTTTCAAAAAATTGAATAACGACAAAAAAAGAAAACAGAAAACGTGTTTAGTAAACAAATATTACTGGAAAACAAGGGGAAAGAAAACAAAAAATTGCATTAACCAAATCATTTTCCAAAACAAAAAAGAGATATGTCTATGTTTTCCTTAATAAATTAGAGAAGTGACTTTTACTAGTTTTCCAAATTTGAAAAACGCAGATGTTGCAATGCCGTTGTAATAAATGTGCATACTCATGCCTAGTGTTGGATCCGGTCCCGCTCCGGTGTCAGTTTCAGCCCGGTCCAGTCAACGACCCGACGGTCCCTATTTGGTCTTGTCAATTCAATGACTCGGTGGTCCGGTGTGGTCATTGACTCGGCGGTCCATGTTTGGTCCGCTCGACAGTCAAGCAATCCCGGTCCAGTCCGATTGACAACCTGAAGGTCCCAGTTCGGTGGACGGCCCGACAGTTCTCTGCCCGATCCGGTCCATGACCCAATAGCCCCTGTTCTGTTCGATCTGATCCATGACCGGGCGGTATTTGTTCAATCCGATCGACAATCGAGCAGTCATGTTCGTATTCGGTCCATTCAATGACTCACCGGTCCCTGTTCAGTCAGGTCAATGACCTGACGGTCCCCGTCATGTTCGGTCAACCACCCGGCAGTTCCGATCCTGTCCTGTCTGATCAACGACCTGACGGTCCCCATCCTGTCGGGCAAATGATCTGACGGTCTGTGTTCGGTTCGATCGACAACCGGGCGGTTCTGGTCAAGTCCCGTAAACGACCCGACGGTCCCTGTCCAGGCTGGTCAATGACTCGGCGGTTCAGTCTCGATTTTTCGAAATCATTTTTTAATGTGAAAAGTTTTAATAGAGTCGTTGAGTAGTTAATCATTAGGAAAATGGTGAAAGAATTAATCAAACTAACTGTTGAGATTGAATAGGACTGGCCAATTTCAGTCTCAACTTTCTTATACATGGGACCTAGTACCCTACTTGGGTTGGACCAGGTTCGGTTTCGGACTCAGAGCCGGCTTTGGGGGGAGTTACCCTAGGCAATTGCCTAGGGCCTCCACTTCTAAAGGGGCCTCAATTTATTAATTTCTTTTGCAAAAATAATACATAAATAAATGAATAACTAAATAAATAGATACTAATGAAATCAATAATGGCATAAATGAAAATTAATATGTACTACCTCTGAATGTTTGTTAACTTTTTCAACCAAGTGATTTGTTATGCATTTTTTACATAATTACATATGTAAGACCAAAATGAGAATTGTTTATAAAAATGTGACTAGTGACTATAGTAGTAACTTAATCATTGTAACTTATGTTCAAGTTTTAAGCGTAAGCTAAGTGACCACGACACTATAATGTAGTAATTATTAATCATATTTGTGTAAATAAGTGTTAGTTTAGTAACATTTTTGAAAAACACTAAATTTTCTAAAGGCACGTGAAAAGGTCTGAATTTATGTTTAAGTATTATTAAATTTATTCCTAAGTAATGCTACCATATATTGTTATAAAAAAATTCTTTATGCTTTTATTAATTTTTAGGAAAGTGATTACAATGTAATGTACTAAAGTTCTTATAATTGATTATAAAAAGTTCTTCATTTCTAAATGGGATATTTATTTTTTCTTAAAATAATTGAATCTATCTTGGAACTTCAAATAAATATTGTATTATTTATTCTTATTCATGTGTGTTCATTGTTTAGAAATGAAATTTTATATAGACCGTAAACAAATAGATAATGTTTCTATTGAAGAAAGAGGTATTTTAAGTACATATAAAATTATAATCTCCACCCCACAAAATTTAGTCAAATTGTCGATCTTTTTGTCAATGATAGTCAATTTTTGATAACTCCGATGACTTGAGTTATTACATTTGTGTAGAATTTATAAATTTTATATTTTAATGAATGTAATTTTAAGAAATACTTTTTCCATATGACCTTCATTTCTTAAATAATTTATTATTGAAAAATATCATGGATCAAGATCATCATTGACTAAGAAAATTTAATATGAAATATTTTATCGGCATGAGGGAAAATATGTCTTGTAACGTAACTATTATGTTTATATCTTTTGCGTAAATATTGTGGTTCTCTTAGGCCTAGGGCCACAAATTCACTGAGGCCTGCCCTGTTCGGACTAGGACCGTACTTTCGGTCTTTCAATCAGTCAGAGAACTGGGTGAAAATTTTGTATGAACACATTTTCAGATTTGAAAATGAATACTAAAAAATGAAAACAAAAATTGGAGATAAAAACATCAAAATGCAAACAGAAGTGCTTAGCTTTTACAGTTGTCAAAACATAAATTAAAAAATCGGAAAATATTTGTTTCAATATCCAATCTTGAAGCAGAAGTGTTTAGCTTTTACAGTTGTCAAAACATATTTGGCACATGATTAGTATTAAAAGCTTTAAATTGTCTCACAACATTAGACGTCTGAATGTTTAAAATGGACATTTTGGACTTTAAATTGTTACGTACATTAGTGACATTAATGGGAGATAAGGAATGGAGAGTACAGGGATGGGAAAAAAAGGTAAATTCATGTAAAAGCCTCTTGTCCGGACGTACATTAATTGATGGGAAACCAAAAGTACATTAATTGAACGCACGGAGGAATGGAACGAACCCATCCATATGTCTTGTCCGAACAAGTCGTGGGACCCTTGATGGGGAGTGCAATTTTGTTCACTCTAGAGGGTGAACATCACCCCATAGCTCAAATGTTGTCGTTTGACATTTCATTTCTTTTTTTGCCACATGGCAAGCAAATAGGGAGGGAGGTTATGTTCACCGTCAAAGGAGGGAGTGAACATAATTACACTCTTGAACGGGAGGCTGTCAAACAAGTTTCAGTTGTGGCATCCAAGGTAAATATTTCTCGATAACATTTTTATGGCAACTTTTTACTAAATCGCGATGGTCAGACAGAAACTCCTATATATAGTTTTATTTAAAATTTGTGACACTTTTCTAAAAAAATTCTATGCCGGAAGATTTCCACAGCCTTGAAGAGCATCTCCAATGCTATAATGTGCACGGTGCACATGTGGCATGAGTGATGGCCACATAAATATTAGCAAATAAATTATCTCTCTCCTTATTTGAATGATTTCATACAATTTTGGTAAGTTTTTCCCTGCAATGTCAACAACAATGTCAACATCTAGACGGTCTCCTTGACATTGTAGAGAAAAACTTACCAAAACTATATAAAATCATTCAAATAAGGAGAGAAAGAATTT